CAAGGGACTTATGTTTCTCCGATATACATAAGCTGGGGAAGAAAAGGAAAAGAAAACTGGGATTAGATCTCATGGAAAACAAAGGGAGATTTGAGGATGAAAGGAATTAAAGGGTAGGAAGTATTGATGCAAGGGGAGTGCTGGGGGTGATACCGGCCAAATTATATTGTTATATTGTGTGTATGTACAAATATGTAACAGCAAAGCTCATCATTATGTACAACTATAATGCACCAATAAAATATGGAGAAGAAGAAAAAAAAAAAAGAAAGAACCATGATGCCCAGAGTGCACATCATACTATTTAAAACAAGTATCAATATTTTTTTAAGGTCTTAGTATCAATACTTTTATAAGATCTCCCAAGTAATTCCAACAAACAGTCAAAGTGAAGACTACAGACTACAACATAAAGAACATGTTCAAAGAAGAGACCAACAGACATTTGATTTTCCTCTTGAAAAAAATTTAGTTGTTGAAAATTTATATTTAATGCTTTACTGCTCAATAGAGCCATACTATCAAGGCCTATTAATTAACATAAGGTGAAACTCATTACATACTTTGTAAAGAAAATTTAATATTTTCTAAGTGTTCAGATGGATTTATTAAACAAAAATCCGAACTAGAAAAATAACTACATCCAAAATACAAATCACAGAATTTAAAACATCTTCAAGGAGGTGTGATTTATTTCCTCTTAGCACCAATTTTAAAAGATGTGGATAAAACCTGTGATCTACAGGTGTGGTATCATATGCCTATAATCTTAGCAACCTAGGAGGCTGAGGCAGCAGGATCAAAAATTCCTTACCAGACAGGGAACTAAGTGGACCCTGTCTCAAAATAAAAACTAAAAAGGGATGGGAATGTAGCTCAGTGATAGTAGGTCCCAGGTTCTATCCACAGTACCCACTCCTCAGCATATATCCAAAAGATCTAAAATCAGCATACTACAGGGATGCAATCACGTCCATGTTTATAACAGCACAATTCACAATAGCCAAGTAATGGAACCAACCTATGTTACCTTTGACAGAGGAACGAGCATGGTATATATACACAATAGAGTATTACTCAGCCATAAAGAAAAACATTGCAAATGAGGCATAAATTCAACTTCATTTTTATGATGAGCCAAAAGGCTCTTTTGCATACTAAAATTGCAGTACCATGTTTCAGGTTCCATATACCCCTCTACAGTATGCCTTTCCCAACTCAGTATGCCCTTCTCTTTCTTCCAAAAACCAATAATTCACGCTAATTTTCTGGGACCTGAATTAGTGAAATATTAAGTTACTTTTTAAGCTTTATTTACAACAAAACAAAAGGCCTTGAATGCTTAAAGATGAAATATGTTCAAAATGACTCACTGGAGGGCATAAAAGTGTTCAATAATGCAATCAAGTTTATTCATTTTTGTTCAGAGCTTGCAATAAAGTTTTACCTGCAATATTTATGCTTAAATTCACGCCTTTAAATTTATCACTGACAAGGAAAATCACAGCTCTCCAGGAAACTTTTTATAAAATAACAAAGGCCTTCATACATCCAATCACATAAAATCTCATAAGCTATAAATCATAGAAGCACGCAGAGTGCTCAAATACACTAAGGTCTGTCTCATTGACACATAAAATAGGTATTTAAGAACAGATGAAGAAGTGATTTTTTTTAGACATAATGTGCATTAAACATCCAGTTTTATTACAAGTTTTGTGCTTGTTTATTATACAAGGTATAAGCAGGTTTTAATATATCAGTGATTCAACACTGAAAAGCAATTTTACCAATCCTCATTGACGAATCTCAATCAGGTAAAAAGTATTCTGATACAGGAACATAAGCATTTAAAAAAAAACCCAGAATTTGAAATTCATTATCTAAAAGAATTTGATACTATAAAATGGAAACAAGAAATAAACTGGATATTAGGATAGGTTATAGCCAACAGTCAATGAATGAGTAATATATAAATTTTAATCTTCTGTTTACTAAAAAGTGTTCCAATCTTCTAATTGGTTTTCTAAGTGTTACAAATTTATGAAGCAAACTTAATAAAATGCCATTGTTATAGATACCAAATTAGCTTAAAGAATACTATTTAAAATGTTTGAAAAACATTGTTATGCAAATTAAGAGTTATTAGTGTGAGGTAAGAAGTCCAAGACTTCAAATATAGTAGCTTATTAAAAGAATTTCAACCTTCAGATTTAAGCAATGCCTCAAAGTCCACATTTCTCAATTACATTAAATATAAGAGCTGAGCTGGGGATAGTGGTGCACTCCTGTAATCCCAGTAACTCTGGAGGCTAAGGCAGGAGGATGTCAGGTTCAAGGCCATCTTCAGCAATATGGCAAGACCTCAAGCAACTTAGGAAGACCTGGTTTCAAAATAAAAAATAAAAAGGGGGTCTAGGAACAGAGCTCTGTGGTACAACACTTGCTTAGCACATGTGAGGCCCTGGGTTCAATCCTCAGCACCACATAAAAATAAATTAAATAAAGGCAAGTGTCCAACTACAGCTAAAAAATATAAAATAAAATAAAATAAAAGGGGGGGGGGCTGAGCTGTGGCTCAGGGGTTAAGCACCCCTGGGTTCAATTCCCTGGCATCCCCCCACCAAAAAAACACAACACATACACACATAAAACAGAAAAAACAAAAGCCGAAATCTAGCTTTCTATTTTAACATTAAGTGTGTGTATACACAGTGTACACACTCTACATACACATGCACACACTTATACAATGCTTAAAAAGAGCTCTTACCTAGGGATTTTGGAATTTTCAAAAATACAAAAAAATGCACTGAAAATACAGTATTCACTTTCCTATTACATATATTTCCCAAGATAATCACAAAGTCAGAATGGAGAGGTTTTTTTTGTTTCCAAAGTTTTTTTTTTTTTTTAAAGGGGGAGAAGGGAGTGTAGAGGAAGTTTACATAGAGTAAGCACTGAGATGCATCATTTTCAGGTAGGAAAACCAATATTCTCCCATAAACCAGCCATGTTGTTTCAAGAAATAAAATATTATATAAAAAATGAAATAAAATTTTTAAAATTCTAAGTAAATGACTGATATAAAAGAAATTTCAGATGTTCAAACAGTACAAAAAAAAATAAACTTTAAAATTAAAAAATAATGGATTTAATGTATTTCTATGACACTTTGCCTACAAAGGATAACTTGCCTACAGTGAAGGGATTCTAACCCAGGGTTTGCTGTGAATTGGGGCAAATTCCCTAATTCCAAGATCTTCTATTTCATCATAAACCAGGAACTAACCAGAAAATAAGAAAATTTCAGGACCAAAGGAAGAAGCTTTCCAGATTACATAGTCTAGCCCCAATATTTTACACAGTGGTAATGAAGAAATAGAGACTTTAGAAACTCTACTTAATTCACACAGGGAGTTACTGACAAAACTACATCTAAGATCCAAATCCAATACTTAGCCATGAGACAATTGTTAAGAAAATTTTATTCTTTATATACAAAGATGGCTCATTATAAAATTATTATGCTATTGATAATTAAAATTCTTATTGTTAATTTAATGGGCTATTGACGTTACTGATCACTTTAAAGACAATTCCAAGTATTTCTCCATGCACTAAATAAAGTTAGTAACAGAGAAATTATATTAGTGAGTATTTAACACTTTGGATTCCATAGAGATGACAAGTGTGAAAAAGTTCATGTCCACATTTGTTACAGTTTCCTTTCCTTAAAACAGCTCTGGACATTTTTCATTTCTAGTATATAATACATATGAAAAAAAGTACTGTTAAAATAAGATAAATTTTCATTCTTTAACCTGCTAAAGCAACACAGGTAACACTACACTGAAAACATAGATAACACATTTTTATCTGTATTAGTTACTAAACTGTAGTTTTAATATTCTTTATAGAGTCAAATTATTTTTTACTGAGAGGAATACCTACTTTTGACAATGTCTAAGCTTATTCTCTCCTAACAGGAAATTCTATTAAAGTAAATTGACTAGAAATTCTTACAACTCATGGGAAATATATAATTAAGACTCCATAGAAAAAGAAATCTAAGAAGTCAAATTGTTTCTTCCCTTTGCTTATTTTAAGGTGTTATGAAACTCTAATTCAAAGCCATCATCATAAGATACAAAAATTACTTTAAAAAATAAGTTGTATAGAAAGAAAGTCTAAAAATTTGTAACAAAAACAAATACCCTTACAATACCACAGTTATTTAAAACTTCTATGGTTGTATTTGGAAGCTATCTTGGTCTTTATCCCATTTCAGGCATTGAAGCATAATCTCTCAGGCTGGTTAATATTGGTCACGCATTTTCACATACTAACACAGTTGCTTCTCATTTTATCCCTTAGGAATAAAGTTATATTTCTATTTCACAGGCCCAGAGAAATGATAATTTCTAAGATTGTATGCTTTGTAAATATAAAATTTAGAAAACAAACCAAAATTCTACGGAGGTAAGTCATCAAAGCATAACAATAAGAAAAATAGTACATACCAGAACAGACAGTAGACCCACTTAATGGAATAAGAGGTTTATACACTATTGTTGGGTGTGAAAATTGAAAAGATTTTTAAGTGGAGTCAAATTTTACAGGCTCTAAATACTGTCTCAAAGGTTATATTTTACTCCATAGGTGGTAAAAAGCACCTGGGAATATTTTAACAGGATATTATATGAAAAAGAAGAGATAACCTGCAGCAAGAGGAGAGTAAAATATTTACTGACCACCCTTTAGTGTGGTTTAATACAATTTATTATGTATTATAAAAAGCCAGAAGGATGAGTGGCAAGATACATGCTAGGTCTTCATTAATAAGGTAACTAAAAAACCCTTAACTGTACTCTAAAAAAGCATAATATGGGCGGTAAAAATATGGTAGACTAATCAAAATTTCTTATCTTACTAATGAGACAAAACAACACCGGTGATCTAAACATCAGGGAGTATCCAATGTTTAAAAATAGCCTTACCTTAGATCAGGTGATTCGGCCCTCCCATATCGATCCTGCCACTTCCCAACGCTTGAATTGGCTTTTCTGGAGGCAGTACTTGTCTGAGACTGAGAAGAGGTGCTGTTTCTGGTGAGATAAATTTTCTATGTTTTTTCTTACATATTGTTGTCTCTGACCCCCCTTGTACTGTTTCTTTTTTTCCTTTACATGATTTTGCTAAAGTTCTTTAACATGTTCCTATAGTATTATCCTTTTCAAGTCATATAAAATACCTGCTGTGGAACTAAGACTACTAGGGACATTTAAATACTAGTATTACCAATATATTATAAACTCAAGAATATTTTTAGAAATATTCAACATAGCATGATGTCAAAATGTAGAAATAAGTACCAAGTGTTTGTTTCAGGTTAAAATAAATTATCAAAAAATAAATTTCCTTGACTATGAATGAATAATATTAATTTCTATAGTTTCACAAAATCTTATTCAAATTTTGGTATTTCCTTCCCTACATTTTTCAATAACAGATATAGGTATTGCTAGTGCAATCAGTTAAGAATAATACTAATTATTTTCATATACACTAATATATGTATTTAGAACCGATATACTAAATACATATATTTTATTAAAATTCCATTTCAAAGTAACGACTTTCACAGTAAAACTGCAAAGTTAATTTTATCCCCCAGGGACATACTCTATAAAAAGTTCAGCTATTTACACTCTTGCCAGCCCTTTAAGAGTCTAATAAAATGCTTATGCAAAGAAACTAGCAAAATATATATGCTTACTTATGTAAAAAGAAACACAAGAACAAACCAGAAACAAAATGGAATGAAATCTCACAATAATAAACCAAGAATAACAAAGTCTTTATATACCTTTGGATATTCTTGTCTTTGAAGCTATTTTTAATATTTAACATAAGCAAAAAATAAAATTATCAGTAACCATGCAAAAAAAAGAAATGCTAAAAGTGAAAACCTAGGGGCTGGGGCTATGGCTCAGCAGTAGCACACTTGCCTGGCATATGTGAGGCACTGGGTTCAATTCCCAGCACCACATATAAAAATACATAAAGGTCTATCAACAACTAAAAAAAAATATTTTAAAAAAGTGAAAACATATATAATGAAACAAATTATATTTTAAATAACATAACCACTGAAGCAAATTTTTGAACACGATACTTTGACTATTGACCTTCAGTCTAAAAAAAAAAAATAAGAAATGCAACCGAATCTTGAACTCTACCTATTGGGCTTGCTTTTTGTAATGTAAGTGTAGAGAAGTTATGAATCTATTTTAGGTGTACTTGAACATCAATCAAATGAATATTTATAAAGCTGTTGAGATCTAAGTTCTCTCTGTGAGAAAGGGAGATGTAACACGGAATAGGTGAAGAGAAGAGAATTGGGAACTCTGGTGTTGAACTAAATGCAAAAGAAATATAATTTCATGATTAAAATTTTGTAAAAAGATCATGCATACGGACAATTTCATATTGAAATTATTTTTTCCTGAGTACTGAAAAGGCCTGGAAATAATGGTTCTTCAGTACAATAAGCATAGCCAGCACTCTGGTCTTTGTTTTTAATTACCATTTCCCACTAAGAGGTAGAGTGTGCCTTCAATAAATGACTGCTTCTTGGGAAAAAGCAGGGAAAGTACAAGGTAAGCCTGGAACGTCTTAGTAATGATAAATAATAAAGAATTAAAAAAAAAAAAAGATGGTGACACGTTAAAAAGTTACAGAAGCCTATTTAAAGAGAGCTCCCACTGACCTAAACCGGTACAATTTCAGCATCAAAATGAATTAGAGTACATATGAATCATACATACACTTTATACACTACATATACAAAAAAGCCTTATTTATAAGCCATACATACATGCTCTCTTACACATAAAAAAAGAATTAATAAATCGAAGAGATAGTAAGTGAGGTAGATGGGAAACCTCATTTTAAAAGTAGAATGCCAACTAATAAATATGAAGAGAAATAGTTAGATAATCATTTGTAATCACTATTTGAGCCAATACAGTAGTAACTGATTAAAATGAAAACCATCAATGGATGCTAAAATTCTTGGGAAGTTTGTAAAGGAATGAGGTATTATACCCAGTTTCCCCACAAAATTATTAAATACAAAGGGGGGAAACAGCAACTGTGCAGTGCTGAAATCTGAAGGGTGCCACCCACAAGGTTATCATCACTAGTAAAATAATGGGTCAAAGTGATATGTATCCCCAAGAAATGCAGTGGAAATGACACAACATCACTTACATATTACTACTGTACCAAAAGCAAAACCTAAATCTAATAATGAGGAGACATGAGACAAACCCAGATTGAAGGATCATCTGTGAAACAACTGAATTGTACTCTTCTAAAATTCAATACCACAATATAAATAATAAAAGGCTGAACAGCTTTTCCAGATTTGAAAAGAATAAAGAGATAAAAGAATTAAATATAATGAATGATCCCAGACTGAATTCTAACTCCAGAAGGAAAGGAAAGAACTGCAATAAAGGGCTTATTGGAATAATTGGTAAAATTTATAACCTATATAGATAAAATTATTATTAAAATTTTCTCACTTTAATAACTGTACCCTATGATTATGTAACAGAATGTCCTTACTCTTAAGGAAAACATGCAGAAATATTTAGGGATAGAGGGAAGTAAAGCTCACAATTAACATGCAAAAGGTTCAGAAGAAAAATGCTTCTGAGAAATTAAAGCAAATATGACAACATGTTAGTTCTGGTGAATCTGTGTATATGGAAGTTTTTTGTATTTTTCTTCCAACTCCTTGGAATTTTGAACTTTTGTCAAAAAATATTAAGAAAATAAAAATGAAGAAGGTAAAACAGGGACTTTCAGGAGAATGGTAACATTCTATTTATTGATCTATGTAATGATTTTCATGAGTATGTTCAGTTTGTGAAAACTTACTAAGCTATAAATTGTTAATGTCACTTTTCTGTATGTATGTACTTCAAAAGAGGTAAATAATACAAAACCTTTTGAAGATCAAGAAGAATTTCTAATATATTATATATTAACCTTTCACTAAAGTATAACAATTTGCTGGGCAGGATAAGAAACTAGAAACCCAGTACTTCTTCAGATAAGGTACCAAAAATTTTCTTTAATAAGGTTCTATGCAAGCATATCAACATCTATAAGTTTGTAAGGCAATCTAAGATTTCAGCAATGGAAATATAGAAATTACATCAACAGTGCAACTAATTACTCAAATGCCTATTTTGTAGCCTCTACTATGTTTTAATAAATGACAGTATCCTCTTCTCTCTAAAGTCAATAAAATCTTATTTTCAAAGATTTTATCCAATCTCCACAAATATGAATAAAAATTACATTAATTTTTTTAAAAAATATTTCACATTGACTAGAAAATATCCTTTTGGTCAACTGAAGATAAATCCAGAAAGCAATTTTTCTAGTAAATAGTGTCCTTTATACACAAAAGTGACAGCATTGATATGCAAGGTAATTTTAGTTTCTACAGGTTGCAGAGATAAATTATTCACTTTTTCTTTAGTCATGATGGGCCTGCTAATTTTTCCATTCTTTCTTTACCTACTTTTTATTTGTTCCTTGCCCATCTGTGTTCTCCCATCTCTCCTTACTGTCTCCATCTCTACTTAGATCCATGGTCCATCATTATTATCAACCCCTTGAGTACCTGCTCAGTACATGTTTACCTGGTACAACCTACACTCTTGTGAGAAAACTCTAGCTTCGCTGGGCACAGTGGAGCATGCCTGTAATCCCAATGGCTTGGGAGGCTGAGGCAGGAGGATCATGAGTTCAAAGCCAGCCTTGGCAAAAGAGGCACTAAGCAACTCAGTGAGACCCTGTCTCAATAAAATATAAAATAGGGTTAGGGATGTGGCTCAGTGACAGAGTACCCACGAGTTCAATACCTAGCAGCCTAGCTACTCCTCAACACATATTTGAAAAAGATGAGAGAAATAACTTTTCCCATTTCCATTATCCACCTACTTAAATGCAATGGGGCCCTGTATCCTACTTTCTCTCCTGTTTTGAGTAAATTGTCTGTTGTCCATGCTCCTACTTAAGGATAACTTCAGCATGTTATAGTCCATGCCTTCTGGACTGTGTTACAACAACTGACCCCTTCTCACTTGTTGCTTGATCAATTTCTCCTCTAGTAACTCAACCCCTAAGTATACAAAATGCTCTAATGACTTTCACCATGAAACACCTCCTGATGCCACACTTCCCTTCAAATACTGTTCCATTTCTTGGCACTGGCCCCCACTGAAAAGATTAGAAGTCTTGAAAATTTAAGATTTTTTTTCTAACTCCTCTACTCCCATTTTCTCTTAAGTCCATTCTAGTCTTTTAACTTTACCTTGAATGGCTGAAAGTGATCCCAGTCAGGATCACCAATGACCTTCACATATAAAAATCTAATAGTTATTCTCAATCTTCCTTTTCTTAATTTTTGGTAGTTGATCATTTCTTTTTAAAACACACCCTTTTCTTTGGGTTTTCTTCAATAGTCATTCTTCTTTATTTGTCCTTTCTCACCGAGTTCCTTTATTTTTCTAACCCACACAGGAATACCTCAAAGTTCTGTTCTCTTACTCTCTATTGATACTTCTTTTATGCTCAAATTCCATTTCATAGCTTCATTTACTACTGAACAGTGTTCATCTCAAGTTGATATCTCTAGCCAATACTCCTCCCCTGTACTCCAAACCCACATATCCGATTTCCCACTCACATTTTTATTTGTATGCTGAAAGAGCATCTCAGTTTTATTGTGTCCTAAACTGAACTTTTAGTCTTCCCCTTCTGAAGTCACTCCTCCAGTAATCTTTTCTGTTTCCATAAAAAGGACTCCATTATTCCACTTGAGTAGGGCAAAAACCTTGTATTCATGCTTGATTTATTTTTCTCTAAAATCTATACATAATCCATCAAAATAGGCTATTAGTGTAGTTTTTGAAATATAGCCAGTATTTGACTATTTCTCCCCACTATCATGAAAGTCCAAATCACAACTCTCTCGTTTTAATAACTGCTGTTAACTTCCCAACTGGACCATTTCCTCCCTTAATTACTCTATAAGATGTTCATAGTAAAGCAGCTCAACAGAGAATTAACACCTAAATAAGATTATCTAACTGTTCCATTGAAAATCTGACAGTGGCTTCCCATTTATTTCAATGACAGAAAAAGCCAAAGCTCTTATAATGGGATAAGGTCTTATATAATCTGACCTAAATTTAAACAATCAACAAAAAGCAATGTACAGAAAACCTGCTAATTAGTTTTAAATAGTTTAATTATAACAGCAAACATCAACAGCATATTTTCTATGTACCACACTCTGTTCTGAAATACTTTACATAAATGAATGCATTTAACATATATAGCTATATAATGAAGGAAGTATTATTATAGTATTTTATAGATTAGGAAATCCAAGCCTAAAACGATGTGGGAGTTTGCCCAGAGACATACAACTATTAAGTTTCAGAGACAGAATTTGAACCCTTAAAGTATAACTCCATATTCCAAGCTCATAACACTATACTACAAAACATCAGCAACTCAATTTTCATTCATTGATTCCCTTAAAAAAAAAAAAAAGAGGAAGATCTAAAGGAATACTATGAATTACAAAAATCAATATCCTTTAGCTATCATAAGTTCTTATCAATCTATGAGATTGCATTTAGTTTAAATAATCACATTTGAATGTGTCAATGACAATCCATAAAAATTTTGGACCACTGATATGTAATTTTGGCTAAAATCAAAAATCTGTACCTAAGGGTTAAACTATATACTCCCATAAGGTTTCTTCCTGCATTAGTACATTATTAAGTATAATAATTTTTGACAATAAAAAAATTATACAATTAAAAACAGAAAACTGTACAAAATAAATTTAAACAAGTAACACAAATAGTAAGTAACTTGGCTGAGAACTAGAAATTGCTGGGTTCCAGGCCCAGATTTCAGACATGTTTATCTAACCTAAGATTAAACTGCCAGCATCATCAAACTTCTCAAGCCTTAGCCTATCTTTTGCCCTTATCCTTGTAATGGAGAAACAGATAAACATTTGTCACAATTGAGTAAAAAGGACATTTTCCACGTTTGCAAGTTATATCTTGTACTTTGTGAACTAAAGGAACAAAATTAGGTACTGGCACTAAAATCAAAGGGGAAAAAAAATGCTTTTAATTTGAAAGATGTCTAGAATGAAATTTCTACCACCTCTTTTACTAAGATCAGCAAAACCCTTAGATGTAGGAAGCCAAATATCTTTAAAAATAACATGCACAGACAATAGCAAGATCATTTTTATCATCTTTACTAAGATTACTATCTTTATATATACACATAACTATATACTGTGCTTCATTTCTTGCTTACCCAGGTTTTCTCTTACTTCTTCCAGATGCAATAGCATCCAGAAGATATTTTCACAAAGAATTCATTTTGAACTACAAAGTTCCAGTTTTTGTTGGTAGAACACTGGGAAACTAACTTTATACTTAATACAGCACAAATTAAATATAAAAGACACCAATGCCTTACAATAATTGAGTTACAACTCTTCTACTAACCTGCTTGGTGGGAGTCCAGTCTTGAACAAAGATGGAGGAGAAGTAAACTCGGCTTTTGTAGATGGAAGTGCTGTTTCTTTCTCTGAATTTCCAGTTCTGCCCTGCTGTACCTTTAAACAAAAACAAAAACATTCAAGAAAATTAGCTTATTTATTTAATATAAAACACAAAATACTTAAGATATTAAATTTATAACATTTATAAATTTATGTTATATGAAGTTACATATAAAAATTTTTATGGCTGAATATTTATTAAAATTAACTTCTTTATTAGTCTTAAGTGAAAGGCATCAAGATGGATTATGGGATCAAAATGTTCCAACTACTAAAATGTTAATTTTGTCACATAGATGCTCAAGAAATTAAAACTCTTTGGAACTTTCACAAATTATTTCTGATCTACAATAAATGAGTCCAAAATACTCAGTACAACTCCATTTGTCAGAGTTCAAGAAAGGCCTTGAAGAATTTTTTCCATCTGTGTTCACTACCCTCATTCAAAACAACTAGTGGCCATTTTAGCCATTCTGACCATTTTCTATTTAGATTTGCTGCAACACAAATACAAATAATCTGCCCCTAATCCATACCATTTCTTCAATTTTCCCATCACATTGTCAGTACCACCATCTGCCAGTTCTGTAGATCTAAAAACTTATCATCAATCTTCTGTCTCCTTCATACTTCTTCAGTCTCTATACTTATTTCCAAACCAGGTATCCATTTAGTCTATTATTTGTCAAAGATTTGTCTGCCCATGCTTTCTGCTTCCATCAGATCCTCTGAATATGGTCTAATTATACTCCTCTAGACTGGTGTCTATGCTCTTTTGCTTTTATCTCAATTTCTATCTTAAAATAATCATCAAATTATTAAATTTAATCAAAGTTGCCCTCCATTCAAATAACATCACAATATATCGCAGGCCCTAAATTCTATGGTCCTCTTTCCATCTAAATTCAGCATCGCTGTCCTTTCCCAAAGGCAAAGATAAGAGAATCTCAGATATTTGACTCTAATATATTTGAACCATTGATTTGATTCCAAAGGTCATTATGTGGAAAAAAAAAATCTTGCTTTAAGCCATTACAGTTAAATCACTTATTAATTACATTAAATAGCACCCAATACGTCTATTTAAAATGTACTGATCCTAAGGAGATAAGGATCAACACTAAGGCAATGGAGACAGAAAAACTGAAGTAGAACTGACAGGCATGTGACAAGTAAAACTGATAGGATTTGGTGACTGGAAAACAGAACATAATTCATTCACCATTTATTAACCACAAAACACATACTATATACCAGAAGCTGAGACATCAGAGAAAAATACAATGTATCTCAAACCTCAGGGAAAAACAGACCCCAAAATATGCAATATATAACTGCTATGAAAAATACAGACAAAAGATGCTATGGAAACTTTGGTGGTATCATAGTTCTTATGTTCCTAACCCTTATTTTACTCAATAATAGTCCCCAAGAACAAGAGTAGTGATACTGGCAATTTGGATATGCAAAGAGAAGCTGTAAAGTGCTCCCATTAAATGAAAAGGTAAATGTTCTAGATTCAGTAAGCAAAGAAAAAACAAGTATGTTGGAAGTTACTAAGATCTACAATATAGTAAGATATATTTTGAGAGACGCCATTCACATAATTTTTATTACAATATATTGTTATCATCATTCTATTTATTGTTTAGCTCTTCCTAATTCACACATTAAACATTATCATGGGTATGTATGGAAACTTATAATACCCAAAAGGTCTTGCAATGTGTTCCTTCAGATATGGGAGGATTCCTGTCTTATTCAATTAGCTCCTTAAGAGTGGCCTTCCCTAACCACTCCCAATCATTTTTGTTTTCCCATATAATTTCTTACTAGTATCATTACCTGAAAGTATCTTGTTTTGTTTATGATTACTGTCTATTGCCAGTTTACAGAATCTCTGAAGACATGGACTATGTATAACAAATCTGTATCTAAAGTAACTAGAGATCAGTATCTGGTGTTCAATAAGAACTCTAATAAATGTTTGACTCTGGGGCTTAGTTTAAATATCACTTCCTTAAATTCCTTCAAAAGATATGGAGTTTATAACCAATGTAATTTTGGCTGGGTGACTCCAGTGTATGAGGCAGAAAATCACAAGCTCAAGACCAGCCTAAGCAACTTACTCAGATCTAGGCTCAAAATAAACAAAGGGCTGGGGAGGTAGTTCATTTAAAATCTATACACCAGAAAAGTTAAATATTCACCCAAATGATGCTACCCAAGTACCAAAAGTTTGGGAATTACTTTTTGAATGTTTCTTTAGTCCATTACAGCATTTTTATAAAAGTTTAATATGAACAATATTTTTTTAAAAAAACTTAGAAAACAGTGGTATACTCAAATAGTAGATTATGCAAAATTATAACTATCAAAAAATTTTATCATGTACAATAAGATGAATGAGAAGTTATACTCCATGTATGATGTATCAAAATGCATCCTACCATTATGTATAACTAATTAGAACTAAAAAAAAATATTTTAATAACCTAGGAAAACATTTACCAAATAATGTTAGGGAGAATAAAGGAAAAGGGCAAAGCCATAAATAATCACAATTTGTTTAAATCCACAAGAACAAAAAATTTGGGACAGCAATGACATTTAAGACTTTGAAAAAAGATGAGGAAAATAGTAACTGAGCAGAACAGAAAGCTGAATCCTGAGTTGCTAAGAGAAAGCAAAGACATCCTGATCAGACATGGCAGGACCCAAAAGGCTCAGAAACTGACAACTCCAGCTCCCAGAAGATCTGAATCAGCCAGGCACATATCCTCTAGGCACAATACTGGAATGCCTTCTCTGAAAAGTCATATTATCGGG